TGGGGCCAGGGATCAAACCTCAGGTATGTGCCCTTGACTGGGAATCAAACCCCAAATCCTTTGATGGGTTAGGCCGACACTCTACCACTGAGCAACATCAGCCAGGGCGAATTTCATTTCTTTTTAAGGATGAATAATATTCCATTGTATTTCTTTACCACATTTTGTTTATCCAGTAATCTGCCGCTTAACATTTGGTTTGTTTCTACCTTTTGACTGTTGTCAGCAATGCTTCTATGAACATTGGTGTATAATTATATCTGTCAGTTGTTCATTATCCCATGGCACCATGGCACTTTCTATTTTTTTTTTTGTCAGCCAGTTTGTGCTTTATTGATGCTCAGGTCTTGACCGCGTACTTCTGCGGGGGGTATAGCCACTCCTTCTGCTGCTGCTTCTTGGCCTTGAGGTTTTCTTCATGCTTGTTGAGCCGGTGGCGCATGGCGCGTGTTTTCTTGTGCCGCAGATCCAGGGGCTTGTACTTCTTGCCCTTGTAGAATTTCCTGAGGTTCTCTTTCTGAGTCTGGTTAATGAAGGTAAGAACACCGGCGATAGACTTGCGAACAACTTGGATCTTAGAAAGCTTGGAAGCTGCGCCGCCTGTCACTTTGGCTACAGGCAGCTGGGACAGCTCCACCTTCAAGTCGTCCCAGCTGTTTGAGCAGCTCCCCCTTCTTGCCGCGAAAGTCCAGAGACTTAATTTTGGCCGTGGCTGAACAACCCGCCGCCGCCTGCTCAGAGAGACCCAGGTATTCCCTGGCACTTTCATCTTGCCTCCTGCAAGAGCAGAGTAGTTTTTCAAGATTCAAAAGAAGTCCTCAGCAGCGATGCTGATACCTGCAGTGCGAAAACCTTTGGGGAACTTTACTAGTAAAATGTTTAAGTCAGAGGGACATTAGTAGGGCACTTAACAGCATCTGCTTACAAGGGCCTTCCCCAAGTAAATAGAGAAGTTGGTATTTGAGTCTTGGACTCAAAGCCCATGCTTTCCACTGCTCTACACTGAGCTTCCTTTAATTACAGGTGTTATAGCAGCGAGATGCCAGCATGAATGGGACATGGTTATTGCCTTCAGGCACCTCTCAGGGTTGGATCTGCTCAAGGGGAGACAGTGGCATCAGTTGGTGCAATCTGGAATTCATGGAGCCATTATAAGAGGCACCACAGGTGTATGGGTCCCCTTTTCTCCTAACAATCTGTGGTGAGACATGCTTGGGCCAGGCACCACTGGACTCTTTATGGGGCTGTCCTCCAGGACAGGCACTCACGCATGCACTGATGGTTGAGGCATGAGTTCCAGCCTGCACCTATTGTTGCTTCCTGGCCTTCACTTGAGCTGTTGGCACGACTGTTATCAGCAGGATTTATCCTCCTTTGAGCCTTTCCAACGATTGTCTTCATCTTGATGTCCAAGCATCAGGAACAGCAGTTTGTTAGGAGAGAAATCAGGGACTAGGAATGATAAAGAAAATGTACATTTGGAGACAGTCAAAATGGTTGGTTATGTGTTTTTTTTTTGTTGTTTGAAAAGATATCATTTACAAGTGCTTTGCATTTACCTAGAGACATAATGTGAGGTATTTTGTCCCTGAAAGGATGACATTACCTAGATTGGTATTCTGGCAAAGGAGGAAAGAAATGCGATAAATCAGTGAGAAGCTGCTGCCCTATATTATTACCTAAGTGTTGAATATTGCGTGTTAGTGCCACATCCATGCGAGCTGGGTGTGTTAGTCAGATATTGCTAGGTGAGGCTGAGGTAACCCCAAATCTCAGTGGCTGTCTATCTCATGGCTGTGTAAGTTTCTTCTCTATTTTGTCTTGATTCCGGGACGCAGGCAGGAAGAGGAGTCCCTTTCTTGGACGGGCCATTCTCACGGTAGAGAAGAAAAAATCCCCACAGTGGTTTACTCATAAGATAGCTCTTATCACACCTGTTTGGATATGGCATGCCACTTCAGTTCATGGGACATTTGACAGGACATGGCCAAGACTGATGCCAGTGGGGCAGGAAGGGCTCTCCTCCTGTGGGAGGGAGACTGTAGGGAATGAGACAACGAGAGAGGACAGTGAATATATTGAGTAAATAATGCCATTTGTTGCACTGGCTAAAGTTTTACTCTCATGTGCAAATTGCTTAGCAAACTTTTAAACCAGGTAACCTTTTCAGACCCAGTGCAACATGTTTAATTTTGTTATTCTTTTACTCATAAGGAAAAACATATTGTACTAAAGAGTCTAGTTGCCTTCCTGGGATCCATGTAAAATCAACCACATAGCTAGTATTAGTTTTCTTGAAAGACAGTATCAGTCAATTGTACTGTCTTTCAAGAACTGATCGAGATTGAAGGGAACATTAGGGCTCAGAAGGGAATGGCTTTCATAGTCATGTGAAATTAGTAGAGAACAAAGAACTAGTTATTAACAATTGGCTGATCACACGTTAAGAAAACAACACAGGTGCTTGTAGTTAATATTGATGGCCATGAGGGTTGTTGTACTGAGTTATTTCATGGTCCCTCAGACATTCCACACATGTGCACTGCGGGCCCCGGGGCGAGTCAGCTGCTAAGCAGGACAGGCAGCTGCGGCAAAACACCCGGCAGGCCGGATAAATGTTTTCCCGCGGGCCGCAGTTTGAGGACGCCTGCTAAGCATTGTGCTAAACTCTTAGGTTTTCTCTGATTTAATCATAACTCACCTCATTTTTGTGCAGTACCATTGTTACTAACTGAGGTACTTACCAGGCCGGGAGAAATTTGTTAACTTTCTCAGATAATAAATGTGAGATTCAGGACGCAAACCCAGTGTATGTTTAATGGCTTAACCAGGGTTTCTCCAAGTTGGATGAGGCCCCTTTTATTTTATTTTTTAAAAAATATATACTTTATTGATTTTTCACAGAGAGGAAGGAAGAGGGACAGAGAGCCAGAAACATCAATGAGAGAGAAACATTGATCAGCTGCCTCCCGCACACTCCCCACCTGGGACGCGCCCACAACCAAGGCACATGCCCCTGATCGGAACCGAACCCGGGACCCCTTAGTCCGCAGGCCAACGCTCCATCCACTGAGCCAAACCGGCCAGGCAGATGAGGCCCCTTTTAAAGAAGATAATTTATTGTAGAACCTCAGGGTTGACTTAAGTTATTGCTATTTTAGTGAATACTTTTAATTATTAAACATAAAGTTAGTGAGGTTCTTTATTTTTTTTAAACTCCTACAGTTTGTTTGTTTGTTTTTTGGTTTACCCTCTGAGGATATTTTTTCCATTGATTTTTTTAGAGAGAGTGAAGGAAGTGAGGGGGAGAGAGAAAGATAGATAGATAGATAGATAGATAGATAGATAGATAGAGATGTGAGAGACACATCGATTGGTTGCCTCCTGTAGGTGGCCAGGGATTGAATTGATGTATGTGCCCTTTATTGGGGGAATTGAACCTGTGAGTCTTTGGTCTTTGGGCCCACATTCTAACCCCTGGGCCATGTGGGCCAGGGCTCCTACTGCTTAAAAAATTTATTTATTGATTCTAAGAGAAAGAGAGAGAGAGAGAAAGAAAGAAACATCTGCTTGCTGCTCTATTCATTTATGCATTCATTGGTTCATTCTTGTATGTACCCTGACCAGGGATCGAACCTGCAACCTCTGCACATCAGGATTATGCTCCAACCAACTGAACTACCCGGCCAGGCACTCCTACACCTACATAAAACCTAAATCAATTTAGAAATTAAGTACACTTAGTGCTACTAATTCAGATTAATAACATTAATTTAGCCACATTAACTAAATTGCT